TAATTACTGGAGTTATTACCCTTGGTTTCATTAATGCGATGCATGCGTTCCATGATGTTGTATTGCACTCATTGATCTACCAGTTATGTTGAATGATTTCTCTTTTAATATCAATTACTCACAAATACTTCATATATTTCAATCATACAAACAACTGCTCATTCAATGTGTGACGGGCGTATTATATACCGCTCGCGGTAACCTTGTTCCTAGAGTTATCAGATTCGGTATGCAAGTACGTCTTGGATGGCAGAGTAGTTTTCTGATGGGGAATTATGGATTGCCTTGTTTCTATTACAATAGAACTCCCAACACTCATCAAACTTTGTCATGTGGATATAGTGTATCTTTAGGAGTGCTACTCTAATGTCAGCAACTGTGATCTATCTGTTTAGTAACACAGTTCACTAATTTTGGTTAGACTGCATTTAGCTTCAATACACTTTCCTAAAAAAAAAACATCCATCAACCATTATATCTGGATATCTGGACAATTTATAGAATATGACACCAATCAAATGGAGGTCATTATCTGCATCTTAGTTCAGAGCTCTGACATCATCTACTCTTGTACCAGAAGTCCAGCAGTCATCAAACTTTATACAGTATGTTGATACATCTGAAGGAGTACACCAACATACCAAATGAAGGTCATCGTGAACCATATGTTCTGCTGCACAGATTTGTTTAGACCATGTGTTTAGCTCCATTTCCCAATAATAAAAGTCCAAGTCATCAAACTTCATACATGGATCCATCTTAGGAGTACAGGTACTAACTTCTACTAAAGCAATTTTACATTTCATTAACTTTGGTTTGACTTTATGTTTAGCTCCAATTCTCTGATAGACATCGCATTAATAGGAATATTACCATCAAAGAGGGAGTGAAGTATATGTGGTAACAGATTAGATCAAAACAAACATTTGTGAAAGATCAGAAACCAAAATAATTATTACATGCATCAGCTAAACTAGTGTTACATAACACACAGACAACACATGTGGACTTAAATTTTTTATTCACTTCGCATGGTGGCTACGGCAGTCTTATATTGCCCCCCTACTGGAGCAGACTCTCTCTCTCAAGTCTTTGAGAGCATCTCTCTCTCAAGTCTTTTGAAGCCTCTGTCTATATTTCCGTTTTATCAAAACTCATAGTACATGTACATATTTTATTAACTATTCATGACCCCGTACCATCCCTTTTACATATATAATTAGGCATGTGCGACAATTTTAATCTAACTTCTAATCTAACTTTCCCCTACCAAAACAACAATACTAGATCATAGGGCAATGACAGTTACCCCCGTCTGTTTTGCGGAGTTCACACACTCTTTTCTATCTCTGTCATCCATGACTGACCTGGTCGCCACTAGATGGATATATAGCCCTATAGCACTATCTACAATTCAGCAGTTCCCTGCAATCAATGCACGGTGTTACCCAAATCGTAAGATTTGACCTCAGATGTACTTTTGACCAAAGCCCTGCTCTCTATTGATACCCACTGTCTTGCATGTTATAAGATTGTTCCATTCTTTCTCATTAAATACTTAATTTTCAGCCCATTTTGTTACACTAGTAACAAAGGTTTTAAATAAACAACAGACATGTAGAAATCTTAGCAAATGATTTAATTACAGAATGTCTTATATAAATTGCGTATCACAGACTGTACTCTATAGCACTTGTAAAATACAATTATATTAATTATATTAATACACATATCACATTTAACAGGAATGTTTGACAGTAATTATTGTGAAAATTACAAAGGACGGGATAAATATCAACAGATAATGCCTGTTCTATACTTCGAGACTTTAATATCATCCTGTATAATTTCTCATTGAGACTACAAAAACGAAATGAACTTAAGTGTTCTACCATTGAATACCAAATATGAACAAAAGTTTTAAACAAACCCAAGTTTCTGAATACTGTATCTCAGTATACCAGTACTTGACATAAACACAGGAAAAACAAGGGCACAACTTGTGAGATTTCTGATATGATGATGAAATACAGACATACCAAGGTAATTATCTTGTAATTTAGATATTACTGGATATTGTGAGATTGATTCCCTAAAATCATCAAAGTTGTGAATCATAAGTCGAAAGTTAAATGCTAAATGTTTGGTTAGTACAGTAGAGAAATTATAAATCTAAACACATTAGGGATAAGTATTTTGTTATGTGATTGGTTAGTACAGTAGAGAAATTATAAATCTAAACACATTAGGGATAAGTATTTTGTTATGTGATTGGTTAGTACAGTAGAGAAATTATAAATCTAAACACATAAGGGATAAGTATTTTGTTATGTGATTGGTTAGCACAGTAGAGAAATTATAAATCTAAACACATTGGGGATAAGTATTTTGTTATGTGATTGAAGGAAGGTCAATACACTTTTTACTTATGTAAAGAGTCAGTTACAAGACTTGTTGTCTTACATTTTAATACAATTCGACCATAGTTGCTACACATTATCAATTCATGATTATTGGCCAAATTACTCTGTAAGCAACCCCTATTATATGTCACAAACAATATGTGTTCTGTTTTTAAAATGTTTCATAACAATAGTAATGACTTTATATTGATTTTATACTAACTTCATTCAATGTCCACACCAAAGTAGAATACTAGGCTGGTCTTGCTGCTGAGAAACTCAATCTGTGGGTACATGATATTATTTTAATTCCTTTCAAGCTTGTAACTTACTATAACTTCAACATAAATTTAACAACAATTGGTAGAAAAAACAGGTTTGGATAATAAAAAGTTATGTAGTTGTCGGATATGAAATGTTCTACTTGATATTTCTAGAAACAATCGGTATAAATAAATTATATTTTGAAATCGTATACTGTGCTGTTGTACAGGGAAAGTGAAGATGAAGAACAGGAAAATCTGCCCAATAGAAATGTTTATTTTGTGCATCAAATCTCTTCAATAAATTATTCACATTGGACACTGGTCAACCAATAAAATATTTGATTGATGTTTTGTAAAAAAGTAAATGGTTTGTAGCAGATGATTGTTTTATTACCTACTACGCTATCACATTACATTTCCACAGCAATATCGCTGGTGGAATAAACTCGGTACATAATCAAATACATGTATATGTGAAATACAGTTGTACAAAATAAATAACATTCTATCAAAACAATTCTAGTACATATAATGTAGCTCATTAACCATGTATAACAGACAATAGTGTACATAGTAAAACAGGTGTACAATAAGATGATAAAGAATGAAGTCAAATTAAATTGAAATAAATAAAATATATATTAACCAAGGTGATGATTCAAGGTATACGGATGCTATACTGTACTTAATGAATGGGATAATACTAAAGAAATGTGTTTATCAATTACTTCAACCATTTAATAAAACGGGGTTATTTATTTAAGTACCTACAACAACAAAAATGTGGAGAAAGCACTGTATGGTTTGGGCCCCCAAATCCATCAAAATTATAAATCTGCAATAGAACTTTCAAACGACTGTTTCTTTAATTTTGAATACTTCCCCAGTACTATTATGTAAACATTTATTTGTGTTTTCAATTTTGGCTGCAATGGTATCCAGGTCGTATTTGCATAAATTATTGAAATTTGATTATTCAGTCAAATTTGACAGGTTTTCACCTAGTTTTTCTCTAAGCTACCATAGAGTGCACTCTTGAACAAACTTTATATTTCTCCTAAAGATGTATTACAGGTGCCTACACATTATCCTTTTGATATTAAGCTTGTTCAAGTATGCGCTCTTAGTTTCTAGGAGAAAAACTATGCAAAATATCACAATATTCACTGAATATTCATTATTTTCTAATTTATGCAAATTTGAACTTGTTACCATGGCAACAATAATTAGAAATATGAATAAATATTTTCATAATATAATTTGGGAAGTATTCGAAATTAAAGAAACAGTCATTTCAAAGTTTATTTAAAGGTTTTGAATTTTGATGCATTTGGGGGCCAAAACAGGCCCAAACCATACATAGTCCATTTTGAAAAGGCTGGCTACTCAACACTATCATACCATTTTATGCTCAATCTGTTAAGATTTGCTTACAAAGCATTAACAATTGCGTAGTTAAGTTACGTAATGTTTTAGGATATATAGCAAAGATCTGACCAGAACATGCAGTGAATAGTAAGTACTGTTCTGATTGGTCAATATCAAAGTGTTATTCACAAAGTGACGGATATCATTTTTTTTAAAAATAATATCCGTCACAGTGTGACAGATATTAGTTATATTTAATTGATTAACAAATATCCCAGCTGATATGTCGAAGCATGGCGCATGTCATGTCAAATGTTACTAGATATACTAAATTATATCCTTCAAGCTTTGTATAAATATAAAGAGGTACAAGTTGTTTTCTTTTTGACATAAGCAAGGATGTTTATTGAGTATAGTTCAAAGATCTAATTCAAAAACATCTTGCAGTTACAAGTAGAAACTAATTATTGAGCAATCTTTCCAACCAGACAAACGGTTTGTCAGGGTTTTATGACTTTACAACAGCTGTCCACAGATGGTGAAGTCAAATGTCATAACCTCGATATGGTATCATGACATCACAGGCTTTCCTGTTTGTTTGAAGCATAATTAAAGGCCTATCATATTTAATGCATTTATAGACTTATTTCAAAAATAGCAAATTTAAGCTAAGTGGCTATACAGTGACCTATTTTTTGAAAAATGATAACAGGAAATAGAATAGGACATCCTCAAATATCTACCAACAAACTATACTTATTGTCATATTTTTTATGAAAGGTAATTTGCACAATGTTTTATACTGTATTTTAGATTGGAACTTTTTTAACAGGAGCAGAAAAATGTCGGTCAGACCGAGGTTCAAATCGCGGGACCCTCTGAACTCGAGACAGACGCTCTACTCATTGAGCTACCTGGTCGCCGACAATCGACCCAGTCCAGTTTCGCTACACTTTTAACAAATAAGTATACTATATAGGTATCACTTTGATGTGAGATGAAAAGATTTTGTTTTCCACCAAGAGTCGGGAATAAGAAATGTTTGGTTAAATATTTTAAAATATTTTGATTGCAGGAAAATAAATTGGTATAGAAAACTTTTTGTTTAATAATGAATTTATAAATTATAATCATTTGTCAAGGAAATATTTTGGTAATGAGCGCTTGGATTAGAAACTAGATTCCATTGTATTAAGAGACGATATACTTAACACTGTAATCTAGAATATAATTGCACAACGTTTTAAGGATGAAGGAAAGCATTGCTTGAAATGTCTTCACATAAAGAGAAAATCATCATTTTATAATTTCATATAAAGTGGAAATCAATTTTGTTAGTTCGTATGGAGTGAAAGTCATCATTTTATTGGTTCACATACTGTGAAAGTCCTAATCCAAAGTCTCTACCTGAAGAAGCCAGACAATGGCACAAACCGTTGACAAGTACCCAATATCACGGTTGTCATGTCTCACAATTGACATTGCCTACAGTGTGAGAAAACATCTCGCACACTGAGATGTCCTAACTCACTCACAACGTAACGTATATCATGGCTTGTGGGCCATAAATCTCACGCTTTTGTAAATGTTCTCCATCCTTAGCTTGTCAAGCCAAGAACCTTCTCCCAAGCTGTTCTGCTTGATTCCCTATTGTGTGGTAATCCAAAGTTTTCACCTTCTTCTTGTAATACAAATTTACACCTGTTAACAGTGATCTGAACTTTACCCTTTTTAAATGTTATATAAAACGTTTGGTAATTTTAGCACTGTTTGACACCACATTACACTGATGGATCATTCACAAAATCTGACATGACTTGGAGGTTTTTGTGTTGTTTGCTGTCTTTTCAATTTTTGGTTTATCTTGTACAGTGTGGGTTTCAGATTTTTCTGGTGTCAAGACTGTGTTGTTTTTGGATTCAGAGCTTCTTTGGGTTTCTGTGGTGGGACCTCCATTTGGTTTAGAATGGTCAGGTTCCACAGGCCCAGGTTTTGAATGAACAGATTGTTCCTCTGTTACTTTGCTGGTCACAACATCTGTTGGTTTTGGAACTGTCTCTGTTGTTGTGACAGACTTATCCTCTGTTGGTTTTGAGACAGTCCCTGTTGTGGCAGTTTTATCCTCTGTTGGTTTTGAGGCAGTCTCTGTTGTAGTCGAGTTTTCCTCTGTTGGTTTTGAGACTGTCCCTGTTGTGGCAGACTTATCCTCTGTTGGTTTAGAGACAGTCCCTGTTGTGGCAGTTTTATCCTCTGTTGGTTTTGAGTCAGTCCCTGTTGTGGCACTCTTATTCTCTGTTGGTTTTGAGACAGTGCCTGTTGTGGCAGACTTATCCTCTGTTGGTTTTGAGACAATCCCTGTAGTTGTGGCAGGGTTATTTCCTGTTGTTTCGGAGCCTTTTTGATTCTGTATTTCCTGACTAGACTGACCCTCCTTTGTCTCTAGGACTAATTCATTCACCTGTTATTAAAATGAAACTGACAATTGAAAATGCATGTTAACCTGAATTCAATACATTTAATGCTGAAACCAACATCATAAAATGACAACATTTTCAGTACCACAGTTTTATAAAATGGATGATATATATAATGGGTTTTTTATGACATTTACCATGCAGATTCATTTTCAAACGAAAGAAATAAAGATAAAATGATCACACAATATATTTATATTTTTTTCATAAATAAAGATTCATGTTAAAGACATAATGAAAAATATTAACAGACATTATTTTAAAAGAAACAATTAAGCTAGAAATAATAATCCATTCAATTTCTGTCGATCATTAACATCGCTTTTCCTGACTTCAAACAATCATTTACCCATATGACTTTAAAGAGAACCTGTGTATTTTTTTTCTTTTGTGCTTTTGTACATCAATATCTTAAAAAAAGGCCCATAGGGTCTGTATTGCTCACTTGGATATATAAGCAATCATTGAAAACATATTCTTATTAAAAGCAAGTCTCCAGAAGTGGAGCAAAATTGCAGGGCTGAATCCTGGTGTCATGATTGTAATAGTTTGTTCATGCACAGCAAGCACATCTATGGTTATAGGATGGGGATCACAACTGTTTTGACCTAAGTTATGACTCAAGGACTATTTAGACTCAAGGGTGGGGCTAATCCCTATAGCATGACTGTATTTGTATATGGTGATTGGATGGGGATCACAACTGTTTTGACCTAAGTTATGGCCCAAGGACTACTTAGACTCAAGGGTGGGGGGCTAATCCTGATAGCATGATTGTGTTTGTATATGGTTATTGGATGGGGATCTCAAACCCAGGGACTAAGTTCAAACATCAAGAGTAGGACCCTGAGGCCAATTCTGATAACATGATATTGTGTTTGTCTCTCCATGCCTATGAATGTCATGCATGTAAACTATATGGTTATGAGGGTAAAGATCATGACTTGTTTCTGTGATAATTTATGACCCTGGGACTTTTAGGTCCCCACAGACAGATCATAGTGTCAATCCTGGTAGAAAGATTGTGTTTGTATCTTCAGGCCTGTTAAGCAGGTACCCTTCTATTTTTTTTATTGTCATCATCTAAGGATGCTTTCAACTTAATACAAGAGGCCCAAATGGCCTGTATCGCTCACCTGGATATCTAAGCAATCATGGCAAAATATTCCCCAAATGAGATCCAAGGGAATATGCCAGACCCCATGGCAAGGCCTATCCTTGTAGCATATCTGTATTGGATTTTTCATGGCCAGCAATTTTATGTATGGTTATGGGGTGGGGATCTCAACTGTTTCCAAGCTGTGACTCAGAAACAAGGTCCCTAGGGTTGTGGCCAGACCCAAGGATCAATTTTAATGTCATGACTGCATTCGTCTCTTTTTGCCCAGCATTTGTATTTATAGGTTTGGGGTGGGGATCTCAACCGTTTCAAAGTTATGACCCAGGGGTTAAGTCTCCAAGGGTTGGGCCAGACCCTAGAGCCGTCCTGGAAGCAAGTGTGCATTCTTCTCTTTATACTCAGCAATTGTATATATGGTTATACGGTGGGGATCTCAACCATTTCCAAGTAATACACTTATTTTGGCCCCACCATTTGTACAATTTTGAATCCCTGCCTCCCATAAATGCTTCCGACCAAATGTGATCGATATCCATGGCATAGTTCTGCAGAAGAAGTTGCTTAAAGCAATATAGACAAATTGCCCCCTTTTGGCCCCACCCCTCAGCCCCCTGGGGGGTCAGCCCCACTATTTGTACAATTTTAAAATCCCCACCACCTAGGGATTCTTCTAGTAAAATTTATTTAAATTCCAATCAATGGTTAAGAAGAAGAAGTCGTTTAAAGAAATTGTTGATGGATGGATGACGGACGACGGACGGACGCCACGGTATAGCATAAGCTCACCTTGGTCCTTCGGACCCGGGGAGCTAAAAAGAGTTCTTGTAGAATACCCAGAAATGTCATCTGAAACATTTGACAGATTGATGATGAATAATTGACTTGAGAATGGCAGGCTGTAGTACGGTATAATTTCACCTTGGTACTTCAAACCAGGTGTGCTAAAAATACAAATTAATATACTTCCTTGGTCATTTGTGGGAAATATACATGCTTATATCAAAAGTACACATAAATGATAAAACAGTCATGGCCTGACATACATGTCACCACTAGTATACCTTCCTTCCTAGGTAGATCATTATAAAGATAATATAACTTCCTTCCTAGCTAGGTAGATCATAATAAAGATAGTATAACTTCCTTCCTAGGTAGATCATAATAAAAAGAGACAATGTTCATCACATTATATGTTAATAGAACAGGGAAATATTTTAGCAAAAATGCTTCGGGATCAAAATCTCTTGGAAAATTCATATGATGAAAACAAAGGGTGAGGGATTAAGAAGAACTGAGGTAAGTATTGTTTAAACCTAACAGGAGAGTGGGTAGCTTCCATGATATATAAGCTCTGATAGTTTTACTTGCCTTGATGAGATGTATGTCTGTGCTGTCTGTATCCTCCTGTAGCTCCTGTTTCACCTTAAGGAGGTTCAGAAGCATTGGTTCTGCCTGCTCTGATGCCTCCTCTTTATCTCTGAAAAAAAATCAGCAGAAACTTAATTCAAATACCTTAGACGAAACCCAGATCTTCATACGCCTGTGAAATATCACAGGGGCACACAACTACTAAAACTATTGCATTTGTTAGACTTTCAGCTGGTGGATACGTACTATTCAGCGACTGAAAGTCTTACAAAAGCAATATTTTTAGTAGTTGCGTGCCCCTGTGGTAATCTATTTTTTAAGGTTAGTCCATTAATCTATTGTTGAGAAATCATGACCACAAAGATTTGTAAAGAAGTTCTCTTTATTTTCATGTAATTTTGAGCTAATAAAACCTACATGGCACACCCATAGTGTAAATTTGATAAGTAATATATATTGGGAAAATTTGGTCCAGTCAAACTTTTGCCTTGCACCCATAAAATCTATTTTCGCTAATTGTTAATTTCATCCATCACATTTGATTACATCTCTACTAATACTTATAATGTTGTTTACAAATGCCCGGTGTAGTGATAAATTAGCTCTCATTACAGAGAGCAAAAAGCTGAAAGTTTTACTGCAGCGAAAAACCTCCTGGTATATACTTAGTATCACTCTACTAGTCGGACAAATGGACAAACATGGACAAATCAATGCAATATGCCCACTTTTCAGCGTAAAATTATCAACAATCCTGTGAACCCTTAATCCAGTAAAATTATTGCCGTCAATATATGACCATGTTGTTCAGAACTTATTTCATCAGCTATATCAGTATAAGGTGCATACTGATCTTCAAGTATTGAAGTTTTGGGGTTGACTTATACCAAACACTCATTAATGACAAGAGGCCCAAGGGCCTTAGCGGTCACCTGAGTTATATTATAGGTACTGGTAGCTTTATTTTATTGTTTAGATGTGATGTGGAAATCAGCATGTAAACTAAGTGAAATACAATACTTGTCATGTCATCAAAGGATAAGAATTTGAAAATATTGGTAAATGTTCCCTTTGGGGCCCCACCCTAGCCCCTGGGGATGGGGCAGGAATCCCAATTTTACAAAGAAATACTCTCATTCACCAAAGATGATTCTGACTAAGTTTGAGTAATTTTCTGCTGAAAATGGATGAAATATACCCAAAAGTGTTATTTCCCAATATAAACTATAGTAAACTTTACCCCCTTCCCAAGGGAGAACAGATAGCTCAGGGGTCCTGAAATTTACAATTTAAGTAAAGCCCCTGATGATCTTTCTTTCCATGCAGAGAAAATGACTGTAGACTAGTACCTCTGAGTCTTGAGAAGATTTTTTTTGATATATTGGTTAATTTTCCCTTTGGGGCCCCGCCCTGGCCCCTAGGGTTGGGGTAGGAATTTAAATTTTACAATTTGAAACCATCTTCACCCAAGGATAATTCTCACCAAGTGAAAATAATTTCCTACAGAAAGTTGTCAGAATATACCCAAAAGTGTTATTTCCCTATATAAACTATAGTAAACTTTACCCCCTCCCAAAGGGAGAACAAATAGCTCGGGGGTCCTGAAATTTACAATTTAAGTTAAGCCGCTGATGATCTTTTTTTCCATGCAGAGAAAATGACTGTACCTCTGAGTCTGGAGAAGAAGATTTTGAAATATTGGTTAATTTTCCTTTGGGGCCCCACCCTGGCCCCAGCGGTTGGGGTAGGAATCCCAATTTTACAATTTTGTAGCCTCATATACCAAGGATGATTCTGACCAAGTTTGAAAATAATCCATCCACTGGTTCTTGAAAAGAAGTTGAAAATGTAAAAAGTTTACAGACGACAGACGTAAAGCGATTAGAATATGTCACTTGAGCAAAGCTCAGATGACCTAAAAATAGTCAATTTTCCCAGCTTCACTGCATGCTTTATCATTATCCAAAGTAAGTGACATCAGCTCAATCTACCAATTTTAAACTTACGTTCGTAATATTTCGTCCATCACATCATCTGCAACCTTGACCATAGCGAGATAATCGTTGTAGCTACAGGAGAAGGTCCCACTCATGTCAACCACCTTTGAAATGACATACTTCCTCATCTTGTCTGCTTTGTCACCACCCCTGTTTTTGACATAGTCATACCAAATTCTGTCCTTGAAATTTGCTGCCATGGGAAGAAGTTTCAGAAAGCTGTGTTCACCAGGCAGGTCCATAGTCTGGACAAAGTGTACAACACGTCTACCCTTCAGTAGTCGCTGGCGACAGAGAGCCAGGTGGAGATTCTGCATGTGTTCTTCTGAACTAACAAACTCCTCTGATAGGAAGAGTACAATTGCACGAGCCGTGTCAATGTCTTGGAGAAGTGACTTGTTTCGTTCCCACAGAAATCTGACCTTCAGTTCGGGATGAAGGTTATCTAGTACATGGTTCAAAACCATGGCACAGTAAGTCGCATCACCAGCAAAGCCAATGGCCACATCACATTCTTGCTTGTCTTGGTCCTCAGGGCTGGCTTTCACTTCTGGCAGAGCACTTTTACGATAAATTGTGAAATCCTTTACGTGTAATTTGTAGTTGGTTGCCACATATCTGGTTCTTATCGTCTCGAAAATGTCTTTGTAGTTTACACCTTTTAATTCCTACAACAAATAAAATAAAATCTTATAAGTAATAATTACGTTATCATGCAAATTACCCAAAAATACTTTTTAGTACAATTTACCAGCAATGAAATTATCATCAGATAATTAGAATTTTAAGCAAGCGAGTACACCAGAAAACCCTACAAAATTATGTGAAGAAAATCAATACTACTGCTTTATACAGTAGTGGTAGCCATCTTTAAACTGACATTTGCATAAATATCTTCCTATATTTACAACTTACCTTCTCCAACACATTGAAGTGCCCCTTTTCTCCAGTTTGAAGCCAGTTTATAACCATCTTTAAGATAAAATCCACAGCACCAGCAAAGTTGTCTCCCCTACCATCCACCATGTCGACTTTACAGAATCCTGCATGGGGGGTTGACGACAGATCTTCTATACAAACTGGTAAAAACAGGATCTTAGTTGGCTGCAATAACAAATAAAATCATGTCAGTGTATTACAGGAGTAACAGAACGGATAAAATTAACTTCAAATTGTTTGGTAATTTATAAGACTCTATAAGATCAAGTTCACACATGTTAAAAGCAATCACATTCTTGTAGTTAAGTTAATATTACTTGTGGATGAAGGCAGAACCGACTTGTATGAAGATCACTGGATCATTATGTAAAATACATTGACAACCAGGTTTAATATGGTGCTAAATGCTAATGTCTGACCCTGCCATGAAAATCTTGTTTCGATAATTTCCTTGTCCCGGCCAAATGACAGTGCTGCTTGGTCTGACCTCTATCTTTCAACCTGTCTGGGTTGGGTGACCCTACCAGGAGCACAAAGCCCCAACCAGCATAGCTATCAAGGTCATTGAGGTACTCACCCCTCACCATGGACAGCGATTAGGGGGATGTTGATATATAAGATGTTTATAGTTTATTCCCAAAACTAGTTACCATTGTAACAATTGGACTTGTTGAAGGGTACAGTTTTTTGGACTTGTTGAAGGGTACAGTTTTTTGAACTTATTGAAGGATACAGTTAATTGGACTTGTTGAAGGATACAGTTTTTTGGACTTGTTGAAGGGTACAGTTTTTTGAACTTATTGAAGGATACAGTTTATTGGACTTGTTGAAGGATACATTTTTTTGAACTTATTGAAGGATACAGTTTATTCACAAAACTATATAACAATTGGACTTGTTGAAGGATCTTAAGTCAGAGTTTTAGATATAATATTAATTTGATTTCTATAGACAACAGAATCTTCAAGTGTGATAGAAACTCAATTTTTATGTTTCAAGTCATTTAGATCAACCAATGGAAATGCTGAAACAGTGAAAATCAACTACCCAATTTTCCCTTTACCAATAGTGATTACGTGATGTCACAAAAATGAAATTAGAGTTGTGAAAACGTTGTGTTAGGAACCTACATCAATGAGATGTCGCAGTAGGGCGATGTTGTACTCCTCCTGACAAATCAGAGAAGATACATAGGTCTGGGACACGAGGGCAATAACGCACCGCGCCCCATCCACCGAATCATACAGGGTCTTCTGCCACATACTCCCTGAGGAAAGAATAGACCCATACACATTAGAATAGGCATGTGTCACATACTTACAATAATATACTTACAGAGAGGTAGAATATCTCAATATAGGACATACACAAAATATGCAATAACAGGTAAGAAATACTGTGAAATATTTTCTAAGAACTATGAAACACTGGTAACACTGATAGCCCCCATCCTATTCCCAGCCTACCATTCCTGATAAAATGGTGGAGCATATAAAACAAACATTTCTATTTCATATAAAGGTCAAGGTCACCATAAATATCAGATTCTATCAGAGAATCCTTAGACGGACGATCGTCTGTTATCAGAGAGGACTTACATTTGTAACTATATATATTGGTTTTTATGAGAAGCAATGTAAATAATTCATTTCCAAAAGAATTTCTTATGATTTCTTTTCCAGAAAACAATGGCCAAGATTTGTCAGATACCTCAACCAACTGAACAACAAGCACACAATGACTTCAGCTATTGTAAATTGAACAATATATAAACAACAAGCTCACAATGACGTCAGCTTTGGTAAACTGAACAATATATAAATAACAAGCACACAATCACTTTAGCTATTGTAAATTGAACAATATATAAACAACAAGCTCACAATGACGTCAGCTTTGGTAAACTGAACAATATATAAATAACAAGCACACAATCACTTTAGCTATTGTAAATTGAACAATATATAAACAACAAGCTCACAATGACGTCAGCTTTGGTAAACTGAACAATATATAAATAACAAGCACACAATCACTTTAGCTATTGTAAATTGAACAATATATAAACAACCACCACCCAATGACTTCAGCTATTGTAAACTGAACAATAAATAAACAACCACCACACAATGACTTCAGCTATTGTAAACTGAACAAGATATAAACAACAAGCACACAATGACTTCAGCTACTGTAAACTGAACAATATATAAACAACCACCACACAATGACTACAGCTATTGTAAACTGAACAATATATAAATAACAAGCACACAATCACTTTAGCTATTGTAAATTGAACAATATATAAACAACCACCACCCAATGACTTCAGCTATTGTAAACTGAACAATAAATAAACAACCACCACACAATGACTTCAGCTATTGTAAATTGAACAATATATAAACAACAAGCTCACAATGACGTCAGCTTTGGTAAACTGAACAATATATAAATAACAAGCACACAATCACTTTAGCTATTGTAAATTGAACAATATATAAACAACCACCACCCAATGACTTCAGCTATTGTAAACTGAACAAGATATAAACAACAAGCACACAATGACTTCAGCTTTTGTAAACTGAACAATATATAAACAACACGCACACAATGACTTCAGCTATTGTAAATTGAACAATATATAAACAACCACCACCCAATGACTTCAGCTATTGTAAACTGAACAATATATAAACAACACGCACACAATGACTTCAGCTATTGTAAACTGAACAATATGTAAACAACAAACAATAGGCAAATCTATTATAATAGTCATACAAAATTCCCATTTTATTTCTTTAGTCTTGTTTGAACAGTTTTTATCTAATACAGGTACTTTTTGTCTGGTACCATGGTAAGTTGTACACTACTGACTAGTGAGTGTACAGTTCTGTAACATATTCTCCTTACCCATGGTCAGTTCACTTCGGTCGTAGAAGATCTTAGGTTCAGGTTTGGCCCCTAACAGCTCCTTTAGTAAATCTCCAGCCTGGTCAGGGTTTTTGTGCGAGTAGGAAATAAAGATGTCGTACTGCTTGGTCCTAGCAGGGCCAGGTAGGTCCAGGATATTGTTCTTGACTTCGTCCATCTCTTCCTCTTGGCCAGACAACCTCTCAACTAACATGGAACAGGCATCCTGGATCTTGGTTTCTATACTGTCAGCTTCTTTACGCACTCTGTGAGGGAGATTTGACATGTTGATATTTTTCTTCAGAAAACCTTAGGTTATCGGGTTATCTCTATATACATTCAGCAAGTACTACGTATGGCAAAATAACACTGGTAAAAATAGATAGAGAAGGGAGATAACTCACCGACAATCTTGGTACTGAACTAGAGTGATGTAGACAGGCATGGATTCCACTGTTAGAACATAGAAAGGCTGCAGAATGTTCCCCTTCCTCAAACGGTTACAGCACATAGCCATGTTAAACTGCTCTAAACACTCCGAGCTGTTCACAAACAGTGGGGTCAGCACAACAATGATTCTACAAATAAAAACAAGAGTATAGCAAATGGAACATTTATTTCAACAATCTCAACTCTTAAGCAACTTTTCAACATTGAAGTATCACTCAGAGGTTTTCTTTAACAAAGTTGTAACACAGCTATTTACCTATCTAAGTTTCACTACATTCATATATTAATACCTTAATTGTCATTTGCTAATGATACTGGAATGCAACATCTATCTATAATAATTAAGTGGATGAAGTGTATTTTTAAAAAGAACTTCAGTCAGAAAGCAAAAACCAAGTTATCAGGTGTAATGATCAGTAGCATACATATGCCCTGAATTTATGCAATTTGCACAAATATAAAGAGACTTCTGTTATTTGAACTTTCACCTCCCGTTCTGACCTTGTTCTTAGAGTGGGCCCCAGCAACTCTGTCTGTAAATGATGTTTCTCACTTTCAAACATTGTATGATAATTCTTCGTATAAACAAAAGGAACAGTAAAAACTTGTACAATTTGTACTTAACGAGAGATGTGTGTAAGGTGAATGTGCAATACTCGGTCTATAAGTGGTCGAAATGAAATAATTAAGTTAACAAAGGTCACAGATGTTAAGGTTAAAGGTGGAGGCAAAAAGAAATGCTATGAAACTTATTTTTTGTTACTTAACCAAACTACCCATAAACTGGTAAATACAGACACAGAGCTGAATTTGCTTCCAAGGAATTTGGCCAAACTCAAGAGAATAATGCATGGCAAATCAACAGGTATATGTGTCCATGATAAAGAGAAGTAAAATAATCTACAGTAACAATGAAGTGTAAGTTAAATAATTACTTCAAACATGAGGACATTTTCTGAAAGATTTGATCTTGCCACACTTCATCCTCCTTAAATATTTGTACATCAGCGCAAATCTTTATATCAGATTTCTTCTTCCTGAGAGTTTTCTCAATTTTCTTACACCAATGTTTATCCGCATCTTGGAACATGATGAAAATATCAAATGTCTGTAGGTTTAGACTTTTTTCCTTCAAAAATATAAAAACGTTTTTTTTAGAATGTTATTAGGATTATGAAAATGTAACAGGAGACTGATTAATTGAATCTTTGTTATTCACAGTTTTTTTTAGTACTATGATAGATTCTTAGTAAAGATTATTCTGAATTTTTCTAAAATAAGACTGTATAATCTACCATTGAAATACCTGTAACCCTCAAGAAAACTATGAATCCTATTACCAGGTCTATCATTGGAGTACCAACCTCAAGAAAACTACCCATCATCCTGCAAAATCTGCCATTTGAGTACCACCCTAAAGAAAATTATGAATCATACTGCCAAATCTACCATTGAAATACCACCCTCAAGAAAACTATGCATCATACTACCAAATCTACCATTGAAATACCACCCTCAAGAAGACTATGAATCATATTGCCAAATCTACAATTGAAATACCACCCTCAAGAAAACTATGCATCATACTACCAAATCTACCATTGAAATACCACCCTCAAGAAAACTATGCATCATACTACCAAATCTACCATTGAAATACCACCCTCAAGAAAACTATGCATCATACTACCAAATCTACCATTGAAATACCACCCTCAAGAAGACTATGAATCATATTGCCAAATCTACAATTGAAATACCACCCTCAAGAAAACTATGCATCATACTACCAAATCTACCATTGAAATACCACCCTCAAGAAAACTATGCATCATACTACCAAATCTACCATTGAAATACCACCCTCAAGAAGACTATGAATCATATTGCCAAATCTACAATTGAAATACCACCCTCAAGAAAACTATGCATCATACTACCAAATCTACCATTGAAATACCACCCTCAAGAAAACTATGCATCATACTACCAAATCTACCATTGAAATACCACCCTCAAGAAGACTATGAATCATATTGCCAAATCTACAATTGAAATACCACCCTCAAGAAAACTATGCATCATACTACCAAATCTACCATTGAAATACCACCCTCAAGAAAACTATGCATCATACTACCAAATCTACCATTGAAATACCACCCTCAAGAAAACTATGCATCATACTACCAAATCTACCATTGAAATACCACCCTCAAGAAAACTATGCATCATACTACCAAATCTACCATTGAAATACCACCCTCAAGAAAACTATGCATCATACTACCAAATCTACCATTGAAATACCACCCTCAAGATAACTTTGCATCATACTACCAAATATACCATTGAAATACCACTCTCAAGAAGATTATGAATCATATTGCAAAATCTACAATTGAAATACCACCCTCAAGAAAACTATGCATCATACTACCAAATTGATCATTGAAATACCACCCTCAAGAAGAGTATGAATCATATTGCCAAATCTACAATTGAAATACCACCCTCAAGAAAACTATGCATCATACTACCAAATATACCATTGAAATACCACCCTCAAGATAACTATGCATCATACTACCAAATCAACCATTGAAATACCAGCCTCAAGATAACTATGCATCATACTACCAAATCTACCATTGAAATACCACCCTCAAGATAACTATGCATCCTACTGCCCAATCTACCACATGAGTACATGTACTATCCTTAAATTCATTACACATCATAGTTCTACATCTTCTATTGGAATACCACCCTTAAATTAACAGTGCATAATAAAACAAATCTACCAATTAGATATCACTTTCAAGAAAATGTATCAAACAACCAGATCTATATCTAGAATATCACCCTCAAGTAAACTTTACCATTATTTACAGGTACTTAATAATAATGCTTCAATGCATACCATTAGTGTTACATGAAATCATTACATATAGGCATTTGGATATGTTTTACTAGATATTTACCATTCTCTTTTTACTTAATTTTGTATAAGTATCCTTTATTTTGGAGAAAATCTCAGACATGGATTTGTTTTGTGAACCATAGATGACAATCTTGAAGCACTTGAGTGGCAGACCTGCCATAATCCATTGAGCAGCACAGTGAAGCATGACTGACAGCACATGCTCAGGACTTTTATTCTGAAATCAAGGGAGAGTAACGCAGAAGGTGAGTTTGGACCAAGCACGTCAAATCAATCTTATCTCAGTACTATGTATACAAACATAAGGTAATCAAATACTAAAAATCAATCGTATCTCAGTATTATATATATACAAACATAAGGTAATCAAATACTAAAAATCAATCTTATCTCAGTACTATGTATACAAACATAAGGTAATCAAATACTAAAAATAAATCGTATCTCAGTATTATATATATACAAACATAAGGTTATCAAATACTAAAAATCAATCTTATCTCAGTACTATACATACAAACATAAGGTAATCAAATACTAAAATACAAACATAAGGTTATCAAATACTAAAAAACATTATAATCTCAGTAATATATATACAAACATAAGGTTATCAAATACTAAAAACCAAACTTATCTCAGTATTATATACAAACATAAGGTAATCAAATACTAACAAGAGTATATACTGCGGGGCGGATCAATATATGCCCGTCGAATGTCATATAGTGTTATATACTTTCTTACATTGAAATAAGATCTACAACATTCTAAGAGTGGTTAGCTGACATGCTATAAAAAATGTATGAGAAAATCCCCGGACAAATAATCAAATACTGAAATGAACAAAGGGCAATAACTTTTGCAATAATCGTCAAATCAAAATTCTTTTAAGGGAGACTTAACTTCATATCATGATTATAATTTATACCAAGTTTCAAAGAGATCCGTTGAAATATCTAGGAGGAGATTGCCGGACAAAAAATCAAATACTGAAATGAACAAAGGGCAATAACTTTTAGAAAAATTGTTGAATCAAAATTCTTTCAATGGAGACACAACTTCATATCATGATTATAATGTATAATAAGCTTCAAAGAGATCCGTTAAAAAATGTAGGAACTGGGTGCAAATTTTGTGGGATCAAATATATTTTTATGGGACAAGTATGAGGGTCACCACGATACGGGTGATTATACCCACACAGACAGAGCTGGAACTGCCTGATGGCCGTCGTAAAGTAGGTCACCACGATACGGGTGATTATACCCACACAGACAGAGCTGGAACTGCCTGATGGCCGTCGTAAAGTAGGTCACCACGATACGGGTGATTATACCCACACAGACAGAGCTGGAACTGCCTGATGGCCGTCGTAAAGTAGGTCACCACGATACGGGTGATTATACCCACACAGACAGAGCTGGAACTGCCTGATGGCCGTCGTAAAGTAGGTCACCACGATACGGGTGATTATACCCACACAGACAGAGCTGGAACTGCCTGATGGCCGTCGTAAAGTAGGTCACCACGATACGGGTGATTATACCCACACAGACAGAGCTGGAACTGCCTGATGGCCGTCGTAAAGTAGGTCACCACGATACGGGTGATTATACCCACACAGACAGAGCTGGAACTGCCTGATGGCCGTCGTAAAGTAGGTCACCACGATACGGGTGATTATACCCACACAGACAGAGCTGGAACTGCCTGATGGCCGTCGTAAAGTAGGTCACCACGATACGGGTGATTATACCCACACAGACAGAGCTGGAACTGCCTGATGGCCGTCGTAAAGTAGGTCACCACGATACGGGTGATTATACCCACACAGACAGAGCTGGAACTGCCTGATGGCCGTCGTAAAGTAGGTCACCACGATACGGGTGATTATACCCACACAGACGGAGCTGGAACTGCCTGATGGCCGTCGTAAAGTAGGTCACCACGATACGGGTGATTTTACCCACACAGACAGAGCTGGAACTGCCTGATGGCCGTCGTAAAGTAGGTCACCACGATACGGGTGATTATACCCACACAGACAGAGCTGGAACCGCCTGATGATTTCATTGATAGCATTAGGGCATATTAAGGTCAGAGAAACCAGTGGCCGTCGTAAAGTAGGTCACTAGGGTACTCAATAAATACCTGATGGCCTGTGGCAAGTAGTGGTGTGATTACTGTAGTCTCTTTGTTGTTGAATACTGGTACAAACACACGAAACATCTGACGGATATCTTCTACTATTGTGCAATCTCCCCTCGTTCTGTAATAACAAACATTTATCATTTACTTTCACTTATCAACTTAATTCAAAAGTAACAACTTGGTTTTATTTTCTTATTGGAGGTGGGAATTCATTTTTGAACTAGAAGTTATTATTACAAGTATTGAAACTTCTAGTTTTAAGTACATATATATATGTATTTTATGTCATAAACACACAATAAATGAGACCATAAGATATTTTACTGTCAAATATCTCATTTAAAATAATCTAAGAAAACTTTATATGATTTTGACATAGCAAAGGACTTCACCACATATAGTTGAGGGTTGCGCTATTACCTTTCAAAACAGAGAAGTCGTTTGTAGGGAAGGTGTCCCTCCAAGGGCTGTGAAAGCCAGCAGTGGAATTGTCTTCTCAAGTCTAACTCCATAGACCTACTCAATTGATGCACATTCATACCCAGTTCAGTCTTCAGTGCCCCGATTACCGTTCCTCTCATTGGAGCATAGTCACCTTTTGTTGTAAGTTAAACAATTAATATTAGTATTTATATAATTTCAGCTCTATATTTCTATAATCATAAAATTTTGTTATCTTTCAATCATGGATGAAAAAAGGTTGCAGTCATGCAAATGTCAATCTTTCAAATGGGCTCTGATGGAGATGGGGTGTAATCAGTGTGATATAACTGTGTAACAATGGGATCAGAGGGAGAAAGTAGCACAAGAATGGGACCAAAGAGACATATTAGTGCTACATGGGATCAGAGGGATATATGTGGTAACAATAGAATCAGTGGGATATAACAGTGTAAAAAAAAGATCAGAAGGAGATAGTAGCTCAAAAATTGGATCAAAGGAAGATATACTTTTGTAATAATATGATCAAAGGGAGATAGTAGTGAAAAAATGGGATCAGATGGAAATAGTGTAGTAACAATGGGAACAGAGAAAAATAATATTACAGCTATGGGATCAGACAGAGACAGTAAAGTAACAATGGTATCAGATGGAGACAGTAGAGTAACAATGGGATCAGAGGGAGACAGTACAGTAACAATGGGATTAGACGGAGACAGTAAAGTAACAATGGGATCAGATGGAGACAGTAGAGTAACAATGGGATCAGAGGGATACAGTAAAGTAACAATGGGATCAGAGGGAGACAATAGAGTAACAATGGGATCAGATGGAGATAGTAGCTCAAAAATTGGATCAAAGGAAGATATACTTTTGTAATAATGTGATCAAAGGGAAATAGTAGTGAAAAAATGGGATCCGATGGAAATAGTGTTGTAACAATGGGAACAGAGAAAAATAATATTACAGCTATGGGATCAGAATGAGACAGTAAAGTAACAATGGTATCAGATGGAGACAGTAGAGAAACAATGGGATCAGGGGGAGACAGTAGAGTAACAATGGGATCAGAGGGATACAGTAAAGTAACAATGGGATCAGAGGGAGACAGTAGAGTAACAATGGGATCAGAGGGAGACAGTAGAGTAACAAAAGGATCAGATGGAAACAGTATAGTAACAATGGGATCAGAGGGAGACAGTAGAGTAACAATGGGATCAGAGGGATACAGTATAGTAAAAATGGGATCAGAGGGAGACAGTAGAGTAACAATGGGATCAGAGGGAGACAGTAGAGTAACAATGGGATCAGATGGAGACAGTATAGTAACAAAGGGATCAGAGGGTGACAGTGGAGTAACAATAGGATCAGATGGAGACAGTAGAGTAACAATGGGATCAGAGGGAGACAGTAGAGTAACAATAGGATCAGAGGGATACAGTAGACTAACAATGGGATCAGAGGCAGACAATAGAGTAACAATGGGATCAGAGGGATACAGTAGAGTAACAATGGGATCAGAGGCAGACAGTAAAGTAACAATTGGATCAGAGTGATACAGTAGAGTAGCAATGGGATCAGAGTGATACAGTAAATTAACAATGGGATCAGAGGGATACAGTAAAGTAACAATGGGATCAGATGAAGACAGTAGAGTAACAATGGGATCAGAGGGATACAGTAGACTAACAATGGGATCAAAGGGTGATGGTAGTGTAACAATTGCATCAGAGGGAGACAGTAGAGTAACAATGGGATCAGAGGGAGACAGTA